ATTTTTTCTCCTTCAAATAAAAAAAGAGAGAGAGAGGAGACAAAAAAAAAACAAGAAATAATTTTTGCCTATTTTTTCTCAAATATTTAACTTCAAGTTTTTTCTATTTCTATTTCTACTTTTTTTTCCTTTCTCAGTTAAAGTTCAATGACAAAAAATTAGGAAAAATTTTTTATTTTTTTCCTAAAATTATTAAAAAAGATAACAACAACAAAAAAGGAAAAAAAGAAAACTGTTATAAGCGCGAAGAAGAAGAAAAAAATCCTTTTTTTCAATTATAAACATTTATTTTTGTTTTTTTTTTTTCCTCCACCTATTCCTCAATTTTCTCCCTTCTCCCCCTATCTTCTCAACTCAAATATATATGTAAAAAAAGAAGGAAGGGAAGAGAAGGTTGGGGGGGGGAGGGAGAAAAAAAAGGCAATTTAATTAACACCTTTTAGTATTTTTACTGGTTTTTTTGAAACAGCAATTGTCTGCAAGAAAAAAAAAAAAAAAAAGATGTGCAACAGAAGAATTAGAATAAGTTTTTTTTGTGTGTAAATCAACAAACTTAAAGGTAATCCCCCCGTTTAAGAGACGACTTATATGTCAGCAAAATTTCCATTTATCTATCCCATTCCTTTCTAATTTACTTTGCCTTCTTGTGCTGTTTTTTGCAGCAGCAGCAGCAGCGATAGCAACAGAAACCGTTGTTGAGGAAGACAAAATTGTTGAGTTGTTAATTAAGTTTACACATAATTGTAGTTGAAAGTTTTTCTCTTTTTTTTTTGCTTAATCAATGTTGGACATCATCAGTAATTAGATAGATCCAATCTTTTTATAGCTGTTAAAAAGAGCAAAAAAAAAAAACAAAGTTAGGCAACCTTATCATCAAAAGTTTTTTTTTGCATCAATTATCCAACAAAAAACTGCACAAAGATTTTGCGCACATAAACTGTGTGATCTTCAATGTGATCATCTGCCAAACTCAATTTCCACCTTCTTTTCAAATTCAATACTTTCATAGACAGCAAAAAATTCAAACTATAAAAAAAAAAATTTGATTTTTTTGCAAGAAAAAGTTAAAAGGTGGCAAAAAAAAAAAAGAAAAGGAAGGAAAAGCAGAATGTTTAAACGAAGTAAATAATTGAATTCTTTATAAAACATTCTTCGGGAAAAACTCAATTGATTTTTTTTTTTTCTTCTGTTCGGCTAACAACAGTCACAGTGTCGTATTTGTTTGTTATACGATGCAGTCAAAAAAGCCGAGTAAACTTTTCTTGCAAAATATCTCAACAAAATAGACTCCGTTTCCAACAGCAATACCAATTTTTGAATGAGAAAATTCGGGTAGTTGAAAGTTGTACAACGACAACAACAAAGAAAGATTCTCTACTATCAATATTATTATTGTCATCATTACTACTGCTATTACTACTCTTTAGTACCCATCACTGTCCATTAGCATCATCCTCATCCTCATCCTCATCCTCATTATCATCATCATCATCCTCCTCCTCCTCCTCATCATCATCAACATCATCATCATCATCACCACCACCATTACGACCATTATTCTCAGAGCTATTAACAACTATAATAATAAACGACAATAGCGACAACAGCGATGATGACTGAGACGACAAGGACGGCGCCATCAATTTGCATCATCACTGTAAATTGTTATATTTCATTCGCCGTCACCACCACCACCACCACTTATAATATAAGTCGCCAAAGTTGAACAGCAATTACAACAGAGAGCAATAAAGTTATTAAAAAAAGATTTTTGGAAACTTTTTTTTTTTTAGAGAACAGTTAGCAAATAGTTAAGTGTTAATGAAAATTCTAAACAGTAAAAAAAAACAAAAAGGCTACCCATAGCATACTGTTGTATCACTTTTATTGCAAAATCAAATTGCAAAAATTTTGTTGCAATTTTTTAAGATTCACTCAAATTTATCAATTTTTTTTTAATAATGCAAATATTTACTATAGTCAACAATGAAACTGTGCTGCTCTTCACCACATAAACCAACAACAGCTAACATTGGCATCTATTGCAGTTTAAACCGGAAGCAACAACTTATAGCCGATGCTTAGACCCCCCCCCCCCCCCCCCCCCCCCCCCCCCCCCCCCCCC